AGCAGCAGCAGAAAAATTGTCTCAACCGATGACTTCCAGGTCGGCGCACGGAGAGGTAAAGTTTTCACTCACTTTTTTCTTTCTTTTGTAGGTACTTTCGGATGGCGGACCAATCCTTCGAAAGGTAAGTGTTCACACGCGATCACTGGACTTGAAATGCACTTTACTTTGTCTATATTCTATTTAAAATTACTATATTTTACTTAATTACAAAAGGCAATAAACTACGGGTTTAAATTCAATTCACTACTTTCTTCTGTTTGTTTTGGTTCCACTTCAATTATGATGATGCTGTATGACGTCGCTGTAGCGAATGAGGATGACTCCTGTCACTCTTCGACTTTTATAACAGGGCGCGGCGGAAGACGGTACAACGCCATGCTACCAATCTAAATTTCCCTTTTGGGCGTTTATAGCCGTCGATCAAAGGGAGTTTTTACGATGTGACCGATGAGCAACAGATGGCGCGTCGATGCATTTTCGTTGTCACGAACAGTAGCAGCGAACACGTGAGCAATGTTTCATTCAAATCAGAAGGGGTCGAGACAAAAATGACATTTCTTTAACGATTTGAGCTGGAAATGCTCTATAAGTAGTCTCCTTTTTCCAATTCAAATCAAACCAATCCCACCAAGGTGGTCATACTTTAAAATAGGCCTGATAGGACTAGGAACTGTAAATAATAATTAAAATCTCAAATGTACTAAAGTTGAATAGACGCATCTGTATCACTTGAAAAATTCATAAATGTAAACCACACAAACACAAGAAATAAAGATCATTTAAAGTCCTTCGCATTAGTTGCGATTCACCCGTTCAACGGTAAACATCGGTGTCGGTGTCATCGTGTGATAACATCCAGGGCCTGCCATTCGTCGTCTGGCTCGACGTGGTGGTGTAAAGCTCATCTCCGGTCTGATGTACGAGGAAACCCGAGGTGTGCCGAGAAAATGTGATCCGTAATGCCGTCACTGAATACGCAGCTGCCTACACGTCATCATCATCTTCCAAAGGCTTTGCCATCAGTACAGGCTACCATCGGCGCTTTTCAAGGCCACCAACATTTTCCAAAAGAGTTAATTTTCTGAACATGTCCCAACTAAAATTCATATCAAAAGGTTCTTTTCAGGGCAATCATAGTCATACTAAAGAGTATAAACAGAGATAACCCCGCTAAAATTCCTATTCCTACACAAAACACAAGCTCTTGCTGCAGTTAACAAAAATATTTATTATATCATACCACGTAGTCCTACGTCATCATTGCGTACAACCCCATTGTGCTGTCCCTTGTAGTTTTTCTTCAGAAAAGTCAATCCAGTTTCGTACAATTTTATCTCAGGCGTCATTTGATTTATTGAAAAATATCAAATACACCACACACCCACTTCTACGCTGTTTTCTGAACTTTTCTAAAGCTCGCTGAGTTTCTACGAATGAAGCTCTATGAAGTTCCCAGAATTACTACTATGTTTCGTTAATTTCTACGATGTTCCCTGAACTTCTTAGAAGTCCTGGGAGTTTTACGAAGTTCCTTGAGCTTAAAGAAAAATCCCTGAACTCTAATCTAAATAGAACATTAAGAATAGTAGACATTCATAAAAATCATTAAAAATAAATACTGACATCGAAACTGCTTGAGAAAATACTGGTATAAAAAAGAAACACAAATTTCCGGGGGAGCCTAGATAATTCTGGAGAGGGCTTGGCACCCCCGTTAGCTAAAGTTAACCCTTTAGAAGGCAGTGGCAACTATATTGCCACCAACAATCTGTATTTTTTCTCCACACAAACAATTCCGTTGCAGTTGGCTACTTCTGATATCTGGCAACACTTCAAATTTTTTTTGAGCCGGAACAAGTGGAAACTGAGTATTTGGGAGTCATTTTTGTGTAAACAATCCGCCATTTTCGAGCGGAAATACGAATATCAGCTAAAACTTATTACAAATCCCACAAGTCGGTAAGTTTTTCAATAGAAATATACTGTTTTGGAACTCCTTTCTTAGATCATTTACTTTTTTCTTCGGGTTATCACAACCGTAAGCATTTAAAAGCGATTCCTCACCCACGCACGATTACCCGCATTGAAAACAGTTGCAAGTATCTAATCATCTATTCAGGTCATTGTGCTAACCTTATATGATATTGTTGGATCATATCTGATATCGTTTATATATGTTACCGATTTATTAGGAAAGCCAACTACTCAAGCATTATCCGAAACATCAGCTTCAGATGAATCGGATGACGATCAATCAAGCGAAGATTTTTCCCAAGTGGACCAATCAGACGATGATGAAGTTGACTGGAAAAAAGGCGATTGGTCCCAGGATCCCAATACAGCCAATTTTGATAATGTTCGTTTGCAAGCCTTGAATGCAGTCCCGGGAAATGCAAGACCAGTAGCCTATTTCGCACAGTTTTTCGACGATGACATTTTGAAACTTATAGTTACCCAAACTAACATCTACGCAGCAAAGTCGACACTGGGAACTGGTATCTGAAGCAGAAATCAAAGCTTTTCTAGGGATTACCATTATGATGGGTCTCAAGCCTCTTGCAAGTGTTGATTTGTACTGGTCAAGTGATCCATTTTTCCGTACGGACGAAATTACTTCCATTATGCCGTGCAAGAGATTCAAAAAAATCTTAGAGAATTTGCATCTGAATCATAATCGTATGATGCCTCCAAGGAATTCAGATCATTTTGACAAACTGTACAAGATTCGTCCACTTCTTGATTTACTGAACACTGCATGCCAGAGAACAGTACAGTCCACATCATCGCAATCGATTGATGAATCGATGATTCTGTTCAAAGGGCGATCGACATTGAAACAATATATGCCACTAAAACCTATCAAGAGAGGCTATAAGGTGTGGACAAGAGCCGGCAGTGAGACTGGTTACGTATTTGAGTTTGATATTTATACTGACAAACGCGATGACAAGTCTCCTACTATAGGCCTAGGGGCCAATGTAGTCAAGAATCTAACGCAGAAACTAATTGATGAAGGATTTCAAGGTCATGTGACCTTTGATAGTTTCTTCGCCTCATACGGTATATTACAAAACTTATATGATCACGGACTACAGCATTCCATCCTAAAACTGCGACAGCTACGTGTGAAAGGAAGCAACATGATGGTACCAGAAAAACCATCGTATGTCCGAAAGCGGTTCAGGAATACACAAAGCGGATGGGCGGAGTAGATCGGTTTGATCAAAAGAGAAGCAAGTATGGGGTCGGTAGAAGAAGCCAGAGGTGGTGGCTGCGGATTTTCAATTTCTGCATTGATTTGGCTATTACGAATGCATACTTGTTGTATGCATCTAACAACCATGTGCGAAATCACGTGACTCAGCTGCAGTTCAGGTTGAAGTTATCACGAGACCTTGTTGGTAACTATATTTCGAGGAAGCGCAGCCTACAAAGCGAACCAAGATATTCTACAAAGAAGCCTACAATGTCTTCAAACTATCAAAAAGAAGGAGTACCAGATAATCTACGCTTTTCAGTTGTTGGAAGTCATAAACTGGAACAGTTGGCTACCTATCGTCGTTGTCGCCTATGTAGTACAAAGGCTAAAAATAAGAGGTCCAAAATTCAATGTTCCAAGTGTAAGGTACCACTTTGCGCAACACTTTGCTTTGATTTGTTTCACGTAAAACTTAATTGAAATTGATCTATGTCTATCTTACAATTCGTTCCAAAAATAAAGTGCACCTGCCGGGCAGTGGCAAACATATAGCCACCAATATTGTTGCGCTAGTAAGGCAGTGGCAAACATATTGCCACCAAGGTTTTTGGACTTCGAAGGCAGTGGCAACTATATTGCCACTAATTTTTTCAAGTTTTTCAACTATTTTTTTTCCAAACAAAAAATATATTTGCGCTTTTGACCGAGTAAGCATTGTGTTTTATTGTAGTTTTTGTTGATTCCTTGCTTGGTTTCCACGGCCTTATAAAGGGTTAAACCTTCTTTGTAGGTAGTACCTCCACCTGTGGTGCGCATAGTCAATTTCCTTGGACGCACGTCGATTTTATAAATTTTAACTTTTTCTACAAAAATAATCGAATTTTTGTCTAAATACTTGTATGTATCTCCTTATCCTTTAATTTTTCTTGCTACAATAAAATTAGCATCTAATACTTTAAAGTTAGGAAATATTTTGACATTGAGTGCAAACATGTGAAGTTTTTCTTATGCTAATTATTGCGTGTACATTTGAGCTAATCATGCCATTACTACAGTTGCGTGTCCTCAAACAGATGGCCCTTGCTATGCCAAACAAGGTACACACTTCCCATCACCCTTTTATCAGTTCCAGTTCCAGCTAAGTATTTACCTTTATCCACTTTGAAGTCTCTCCCAACCTCTGTTTGAGTTGCATCAATGATATCGAAAACAGATGCAGTGATTTGATTGCAGCAGTTCACCGTAGACGCACGATGCACCGTTCCCGAGCAAAGTTTCGTGAATTTCTGGTAGCTGGTGTTGGTAAACCTTCGCAGACTTCATCCATAATTTCCGGGAAATCTCACCGAGAACCATCTCATTCCAGCCACCATCTCGGCCATGATCATGGGCATAGCACTGGGGTGGCCGTCGCCCATGTTCAAGAAGCTCACCGAGGAGAGCCTTTCGGACAATCCCATCGGTAAGGTCATCGTCGAGAGCGAGCAGTCCTGGATCAACTCGGTCCTGGCGATTGGTGGCTTCTTCGGACCGTTCGCCGCTGGGTTCCTGGCCGATCGACGAGGTCGAAAGCTTACGTTGCTGCTCAGTGCAATGGTGCACGTCGTTGGTTGGATTGTGCTGCTAACGGCCTATTCGGCTGCGATGATGATAGCTGCGCGAATCGTGCTGGGCTTCGGCAGTGGCTGTATTCTGGTTACGCTCCCGATGTACGTCGGCGAGATTGCCAGAGACGGGTAAGGTTTTTTTTAAGGAGAAAAGTAATGAGCTGTCGATCAATGGACACCTTCACTTCCAGTTGGTATCCTGTACGTTTACTGCATCGGTCCGTACGTGGGATACTACGCCTTCCAGTGGATCTGCTGTGCAGTGCCGTTACTCTTCTTAGTTGTCTTCGGTTATATGCCGGAAACGCCACACTACTTTGTATCCAAAGGGTTATATCAGCAAGCTGCGGTTTCGTTGATGTATCTCCGGGACGCTTCAGCCGATGAAATTCAACCCGACCTGCTAGCAATCAAGAAGTTCCTACAAAAGGATGAACATATCCAGAGCACCAACTCTCTGAAGAGCCTGTTCACCCAGCGGTCCAACCTGAAAGCGCTGACTATCAGCTTCTGTCTGATTTCGCTCCAACAGTGGACCGGAATCGATTGCATCCTCTCGAACAGTGATCTTATCTTCGAGAAAGCGCAAATATCGCTATCGGCAGATGTGTCCACCATTATCATGGGGGCGATTCAAGTGGTTTGTTGTTGTGTGACGCTGCTGTTTGTGGACCGCGTCGGTCGGAAACCGGTCCTGATGAGTTCCGCCTTGGGACTTTCAGTTGCACTGACCTTGCTGGGAGCCTTCTTTATGATGGAGCAAATGAACGTGGACTCGAAGTACATCGGGTGGATTCCCTTGACGGGCATGCTGGGGTTCATAGCGATCTTCAACTTTGGCTTCGGGCCGGTACCGTGGGCGATAGCTTCAGAGATTTTCGCACACGATGTGAAAGCCATTGGAAACACGATCAACGTGTCCGTTTCGTGGATTTTGGACTTTCTGGCGTTACGATTCTTCCTGTTGATTAGCGAATCGTTCGGCTTCGAGTGGGCCTTCTGGATGTTTGCGATCATCTGTGCGGTGGCCTTCGTGTTTACAATGTTCTGTGTGGTGGAGACGAAAGGATTGAGCCTGCAGGAGATTCAAGAACGGTTGGGGAGAGTGTCGAAGCACGTGGAGGATGCTGGAAGGGAGTCGTCGTTACAGTAAAGTTTCGATCTTTTGATGATGATGATTTCCGTTTTTGTGGGTTCGAGAACAAAGTCACTTAACTGAAACTCGTTTAAGGTGCAATCCAGCTCTCTTTCTTTAAGGCCTCGTTTGAAGACAATCCTTTAGCCTGAAATCAGAGTGTAAGCAAGCATCATTCCAGGACTTATCTGAGCTGTGTGACTAAACTCAAGTCACAATTTTGGTTTTATGAGGGTTCTATAAACCATGATTTAGACTTATAGGATACTTTAAAACCTCAATAAAACTTGCAATATTACTTGGGAAATCTTTGAGACCTTGTTTAAATTGATAAATAAATAAGTAAATAAATAAATAAATAAATAAATAAATAAATAAATAAATAAATAAATAAATAAATAAATAAATAAATAAATAAATAAATAAATAAATAAATAAATAAATAAATTAATAAATTAATAAATAAATAAATAAATAAATAAATAAATAAATAAATAAATAAATAAATAAATAAATAAATAAATAAATTAATAAATTAATAAATAAATGAATAAATAAATAAATAAATAAATAAATAAATAAATAAATAAATAAATAAATAAATAAATAAATAAATAAATAAATAAATAAATAAATAAATAAATAAATAAATAAATAAATAAATAAATAAATAAATAAATAAATAAATAAATAAATAAATAAATAAATAAATAAATAAATAAATAAATAAATAAATAAATAAATAAATAAATAAATAAATAAATAAATAAATAAATAAATAAATAAATAAATAAATAAATAAATAAATAAATAAATAAATAAATAAATAAATAAATAAATAAATAAATAAATAAATAAATAAATAAATAAATAAATAAATAAATAAATAAATAAATAAATAAATAAATAAATAAATAAATAAATAAATAAATAAATAAATAAATAAATAAATAAATAAATAAATAAATAAATAAATAAATAAATAAATAAATAAATAAATAAATAAATAAATAAATAAATAAATAAATAAATAAATAAATAAATAAATAAATAAATAAATAAATAAATAAATAAATAAATAAATAAATAAATAAATAAATAAATAAATAAATAAATAAATAAATAAATAAATAAATAAATAAATAAATAAATAAATAAATAAATAAATAAATAAATAAATAAATAAATAAATAAATAAATAAATAAATAAATAAATAAATAAATAAATAAATAAATAAATAAATAAATAAATAAATAAATAAATAAATAAATAAATAAATAAATAAATAAATAAATAAATAAATAAATAAATAAATAAATAAATAAATAAATAAATAAATAAATAAATAAATAAATAAATAAATAAATAAATAAATAAATAAATAAATAAATAAATAAATAAATAAATAAATAAATAAATAAATAAATAAATAAATAAATAAATAAATAAATAAATAAATAAATAAATAAATAAATAAATAAATAAATAAATAAATAAATAAATAAATAAATAAATAAATAAATAAATAAATAAATAAATAAATAAATAAATAAATAAATAAATAAATAAATAAATAAATAAATAAATAAATAAATAAATAAATAAATAAATAAATAAATAAATAAATAAATAAATAAATAAATAAATAAATAAATAAATAAATAAATAAATAAATAAATAAATAAATAAATAAATAAATAAATAAATAAATAAATAAATAAATAAATAAATAAATAAATAAATAAATAAATAAATAAATAAATAAATAAATAAATAAATAAATAAATAAATAAATAAATAAATAAATAAATAAATAAATAAATAAATAAATAAATAAATAAATAAATAAATAAATAAATAAATAAATAAATAAATAAATAAATAAATAAATAAATAAATAAATAAATAAATAAATAAATAAATAAATAAATAAATAAATAAATAAATAAATAAATAAATAAATAAATAAATAAATAAATAAATAAATAAATAAATAAATAAATAAATAAATAAATAAATAAATAAATAAATAAATAAATAAATAAATAAATAAATAAATAAATAAATAAATAAATAAATAAATAAATAAATAAATAAATAAATAAATAAATAAATAAATAAATAAATAAATAAATAAATAAATAAATAAATAAATAAATAAATAAATAAATAAATAAATAAATAAATAAATAAATAAATAAATAAATAAATAAATAAATAAATAAATAAATAAATAAATAAATAAATAAATAAATAAATAAATAAATAAATAAATAAATAAATAAATAAATAAATAAATAAATAAATAAATAAATAAATAAATAAATAAATAAATAAATAAATAAATAAATAAATAAATAAATAAATAAATAAATAAATAAATAAATAAATAAATAAATAAATAAATAAATAAATAAATAAATAAATAAATAAATAAATAAATAAATAAATAAATAAATAAATAAATAAATAAATAAATAAATAAATAAATAAATAAATAAATAAATAAATAAATAAATAAATAAATAAATAAATAAATAAATAAATAAATAAATAAATAAATAAATAAATAAATAAATAAATAAATAAATAAATAAATAAATAAATAAATAAATAAATAAATAAATAAATAAATAAATAAATAAATAAATAAATAAATAAATAAATAAATAAATAAATAAATAAATAAATAAATAAATAAATAAATAAATAAATAAATAAATAAATAAATAAATAAATAAATAAATAAATAAATAAATAAATAAATAAATAAATAAATAAATAAATAAATAAATAAATAAATAAATAAATAAATAAATAAATAAATAAATAAATAAATAAATAAATAAATAAATAAATAAATAAATAAATAAATAAATAAATAAATAAATAAATAAATAAATAAATAAATAAATAAATAAATAAATAAATAAATAAATAAATAAATAAATAAATAAATAAATAAATAAATAAATAAATAAATAAATAAATAAATAAATAAATAAATAAATAAATAAATAAATAAATAAATAAATAAATAAATAAATAAATAAATAAATAAATAAATAAATAAATAAATAAATAAATAAATAAATAAATAAATAAATAAATAAATAAATAAATAAATAAATAAATAAATAAGTAAATAAATAAATAAATAAATAAATAAATAAATAAATAAATAAATAAATAAGTAAATAAATAAATAAATAAATAAATAAATAAATAAATAAATAAATAAATAAATAAATAAATAAATAAATAAATAAATAAATAAATAAATAAATAAATAAATAAATAAATGAATAAATAAATAAATAAATAAATAAATAAATAAATAAATAAATAAATAAATAAATAAATAAATAAATAAATAAATAAATAAACACACAACTGAGTAAACGACACTCACTCACTGATTTAGTCAAAGCAGCCGTGAAGAAAAATATTGTCACATTAGCTAAGACGCACACATTCATGTTACGTTTATCCAATGCATGCATTCCTTGCGACATGTAACGTCGTTAGCCGTCACATTATTTGAATGGTGAAAACGGTATTGCTATTTTCATCCCATGTTGACATAATATATTATCTCATGGAACGCATTATGTTTTCTCAAAAGATATATTGATTTTTCATTTGAAACTGGATTGGAAATTGATTTATTGTTTTGCATTTGTGTGTAAGAAAGTGTGTCGCTACTAAAGTGCGCTTTAGTTCAAAATGATTTAACGTAGGAAAAACCGCACTTTCTTAAGCGTTTCCGCACTTATACTGTTCGTCGATGTATCGAAAAATGTTCAACCGTTCAAAGTGTCATCAATAAACAACAAAAATCCACCTGTTCAAAACTTGTAACCCTAATTGACTAGTCGTTTATTATTCGATATGTGATTCGATGTTTCTTCTTCGCCAAGCGCCTAACCTCTAAATCCGTAAGCAGTCTAATTTAAATACTTTATAAATGTACATTTATAATTCCTCCTTACGCTATACTAGATTAAGTACTTACTCAATAAGTAGCACGCAACAGTCCTGTGTTGCTTCACTTCAAATCACAATAATTGAGAATAATCTTATTCAAGACCCAAAAGTGGCTTCCAAAAAACTTGGTCCAAAATTAACAATTTCATGCTCCACCCTCAGCGTGAGGGAGGGACCTCAACAAGACCAATAACTAACCAACAAATCTGTACGAAAAGATTTCGTTTAAAATTCCTAACTTTAATCACCGTTTGGATCCGCCGCCGGAAAGTTGTTCAAGATTGAGCTTCGCTTTCAGCGCAGCCACGCTGCTACTGCTACCCTTATTGGAACCTTCGGCAGTCTTCTTCGCAATCGGCGGCGGAATCTGTGGCAGCTTCCTAGCTGGTTTCGGATTGCTCTGTTGATTGTCCGGGTTGGTTTGGGGAGGTTTCTGAGGTAGACTAGGTTTGAGGAATGGCTTCACCGACACGGTCGGTCGCTGCTTTTGAACGGTTGGAGGATGACTTCGCTCTTCGATGATTTCGTCCAGGTTTTCTCGACTTTGGAGGTTCGGAGTGCGCGGTTTGATCTTCTTCAGTTGGACTTCGGCGAAGGGATTGGGAGTGGGTGGAAGTTCCGTTACCGGGCTTCGCTTCGGGTGGACTTCGGCGACGATATTTTGGAACTCACCGATGGTCTTCTGCCGAGGGAGTTGTGGTAACCGTCGAGCCGGTTTCTCGTCACTTTTCGATCGATGAGATTGGAAACCTTGCACTTTTTTGAGCTTGACCTGACTCAGGAGGGTACCGAGGTCCGGTTCGGGGGTGCCCGGGATGGGTGGGGTGTCTACGACGGGAGTCTGGGCGGTGGCGTTGAGAAGAGGGCTTTCCGAGTCGACGCTGATCGAGCGTTGACTCAGGATTATCGCAGGACCTTTGGCTTTGATTTCGTGGATGGCTTCGTGAGCATCCAGAAGGGGTGAAGTTAGCATGAATGGTGAATTGACGATCTTGTTTTCGATGGTGATCTTCCCGCTGTTGTTGATGTTCACTTTGATGAAGTGTTGAGCTGGTTCGGGCTGTGCTACTGGTGGAGCAGGAGCTGCCCGCGTCGGTATGGTGGTATCGGTCTTCTTCGGAAGCTTAATCGTATTGGACGTTGTTGCACTAAGTGTCGGAGAAGATATCTCCACTCGTGGTGGCTTCGGCGGGCCTGTTGTTGTGGGTGAAGCCGGCGGTACCATGTGGCCGTACTTTCGCATTCGGAATTTGATCAATAGCTTCCTGAACAGTTCCGTAATGCTGTCTCGGTAGAAGTAAGCTCCTGCCACGATTGCTAACGATAGCAGAGCAGTTGGGACGAAGAATGTCCAGAAAGTGTTCAACGATTCATCCGGATCTACGATGGGCCCGCTATCCACAGACCCTCCAAGACCGGACTTCTCGCAAAACTGCCCTCCATATCCTATGTCGCAGTGGCAGTTTCCTTCGCTGTTACACACGCCATGCCCGTTGCAGCCGTCGGTGCAATCCTCTCCCACATCGTTCTCCTGTAGATGCGTTAACGATACGCACTTCTGCTTCCAGCACATTTTTCCCGCTCCACATTTTGCGCCGTCCGGAACCAGCCCGGGATTGACGACCTCTAATCCTAGATCCACTACGGCAGTGTTACAAATAGTCTCCCTAACAGTACCCCTAGGTCCGTAATGGCTAAACTTTGTCGTTGTTAACTTGGAGTATGCCTGCATACCAAAGTCCAACTTTTCATTCCGATGACTACAGTGCAGCAACCCACACATCATGTCCTCCTGGCTACATTTCGTATACTCTCCGGTCAGTAAATTGTTCCCGCAATTTCCGAAAATCGATCCATTCTTATTCGTTTGATAGCAATATTCGTCGATCGACTTGGCCGTCGATCCCCATAGCACCTTGCACTGACTATCGCGCGTCCGGCATTGCCCTTTGAAGCAGAAAGCCTTTCCACTGGCACAAGGCTCCGTATCTCTTAGGTAGACATCTCGCGGGCAAACAGCCGACTGCCCGTCACAGTGCTCTGCCAAATCGCACTCTCCTGCTGCCGCTCTACACTTAACCCCTGCTGATTTCACCTGACAGCTATCCAGATCACAACACTCTCCATTCGCACAGGTTGAATTCACCGTCAGTCGACAGGTCATTGCGTCACAGCACTTGGTATCACAAACGTCAGCCAGTCCACAATCACACTCTTCACCGGGTTCTAGTAACCCATTCCCGCAGGTGCTCTTCACGAACATTTTCTCCGGTTTGTTCTTCAAACAGGACCCCAGCCCATGTTTGAAGGCCGTCTCCAAATCCCTCACGCTGCACGAACTCCAATGGTTGGGAGCCGCTTGGCTACGAACTGTCTTCGATGCCATCACACAGTTCCCGTTGGGACAGTGGCAGTCCGGTCCATCGTGATCGATGTTGAAGTTATGGCCCATCTCGTGTGCTATGGTACTGGCCTGCAAGGCAACGAACTTTGTGTCGACGACCTCGACTCCACCGGATCCCGCATACGTACACATCGAACCCAACTCTGCTTTCCCCACAACACTATCGGTGAAGTGAACACCCGTCAACAGTTGCGCGTTGTCGTGTGGGATCATCTTCAATAGCGTGTTTCTTCGATAGTTGAGAAAGTTCTCCAACGTCTTCTTGGAATCCGAGCTGATTTCGATCTGGTCCCGGTCGGACCAGATGACCACCCCGACCAGGGCGATGTAGATGTTGAGCGGACGGTAGATGGCGTTCATCACGTTCACCAAGTCCAGGCAGTATCGGTGAATTCGCTGATCGTTGCTGGTACTGCGGTAAAGGGCATTGTCGATGACCAGCACCAGTTCAACGTAGCTGGACGCGGCGTTCGATTTGTACGCCGCTCGGATGGAGTCAACCGTGGGAGAGTCCATCGCTTCGAGGGCACGCTTGGTCTGGAATGTAAAGACTTGGTCAGAACTTAAGATCAAAACAGATTATCGACAAGGATACATACCCGATGATTGCGGAACTTAAATCCTGGTCGCCTGTAGATGTAGTGTTGCTTCCGGGAGCCGACATCTTCGAAATCCAACAGATACGTCGCATCGTGATCGTACACCACTCCGCGGATGCCGTGGTCACAGGTGGATAGAGCTACGTGAGATTCCGGCCGCTGACGGATGATGCCCTGCGGAAGATTTTCAAACCATCAGTTGAACGAAGTAAATAGTTCGAGTAGTGTTTACAAGCGATGCCACCGTGTGTTGTGGCTTATCGAAGTTTGCTTGCTTTCCAACGCGTGCTTGAATGCGGAGGAAGCGGTAGTGGGCGATAAAATAGTATGGGGAAGCTTCTAGAATTACGATGTACATGTGCGAGCATCAGCGTGCATTGATGGAACTACGGATGACAGGATTTTGATGACGTTTATCGCACGATTAGAAGTGATACATTGCTCGGAAGTGATGCAATCATGTTTTGACAGTTGAAAGGTGTAGTGCTTCATCGATGAACGTGAGTTTAATACCATCGACAGACATTGTTGTACCAACCAGTGGAAACTAACGATTTTAAATTGGCTCACACTGGACTAGCCTATTGGTTCCATGTACATCGATTAACGTACCCCATTCTAGTCGAAAGTCTAGTACTACACTATGTTTGTTTTGAATCGCTATGACAGTTTGACAGGTAAAATGAGGAGTTCGTGGATTTTCCTATGTTTCGAGGGGTGCTTCGGTTAGCTTGGGACCGAAGATATTACCAGAGCTGAGCCAAAAAGTTGAACTCGTTTCTTCGGGACCTTCTGGCATCTATATGGTACCAGAGCTGAGTCAAAAAGTTGAGTACGTTTCATGATATTTGTCACAGGTATCAATTACAACTCCGTTGAGGATTGGATTGCGGAACCGAATTGCAATTCGCTTTGCTAAGGTGGATATTCTCGATAACAACACGTTTCAGCTATCATCATACAGCTGCAGTAAACTTTTTGTTCTATATGTTTGAACTAAACACTATCAAAATACCGTGTTTTGGTAAACAAATAAAAGCTTCAGTTTCGTCACAGACAAATAAACATAACCTTTTCTCCTCAATCGTCGTACACGCATTTAGCGTTCATCAAAATGACATTCATTTTGAATTAATTGGCCTTACTTAACATCTTGACTAGAATGAAGGCTCCCGTCTTGGGCAAAATTGTTCAGATAGACTAGGAGTATTTTATGCTAAACAGTTTAGCTCAGAATTTACTCATGAGCTAGCACTGTTGCTTCACGTTGTTTCGAGTTGTTTGGTTGCACATGACAGGTTGTCTAGCAAAAGCGCTTCTTTTTTGTTTCGGCTAAGTTTTTAAGATGAACTGAAACAATTATGTGGTAATCATCATAGTGTATAAATCACTCCTCAGAGATCACGAGAGCTTAACTTTTTTATATTTGTGACATTTTAACAAATTATAATATCGCTATCTTCAGCAATTTTGGACTAAAAAAAATTCATTAGTTGCTAACTCTGTTCAGAAGATTTCTGTCAATCACGATTAGAAAGAAATACGCAATCCATTTTAAGTTTTCGTTTATTTAAAAATTGTTTCTCAAATGTAACCGTTTGTTACAAAACATGTTAGATTTTTAATTTGTGCATAGTTGTTAAATGTACCGTCACGTCTCGTAAAGTTATTTGGTGTTGGATTAGTAGGGTTAGTAGTCGTTGTGAAAAAATGTTAATTTGTTAGTAGGATTAATTGTTTTTAAATTTGAAAATTATATAAAACCGTACAACAGTACAGTGGGTATGAGTATACTACCAGTGGGTACAACAACATTCGGGCGAAACTACGAATTCAAAATGGGTGGAAAATAACGTCTCACGAGAAGAGCAATGGGATGGGAAAAGCGCGAAGGAAAACCGCCATTCCTTAATCAGTATCTGGCGTTCGTGTGCTTCGGACCGTTAAAACCAAGTGTCCTCAAAGTAATAAAAGTGAGTGGTGAATCGCGGGAGTACCTATTTGTTCAATCAGGTAATACGGCTTGGCTAATTAATTACGGATAGCTAACATTAATCGAATGACCGTAGACTAGTACGATAATTAATTAAAATAAACCCCGTTGCCCTCACAGGACCTTTTTGTGGTACCATTCGGTACAGCGCCATTTTGTGAACCAACCGACTAAGTCGGTCAGGAAGCACACGAGTCGGATTATTGGTCCTTAGTGGCTATTAATCCTAACAATAAAGGACATCATTTCGATTTGGCATTGCAAGGTCAAAATCGTCGCATTCCTCGGGCCAAGGCGGCTCTAAACGCAAAAGAGGACCCCTCTCAGCAGAGTCACTCCGGCCTTGCCTGGACTCTGGTGATTCTCGTCAACGAGGGTAGACGCCAGGAGACCGCAGATCGCCATCAAGTTAAGTCGATCTATTGTTCCAACATCACCACCCTGTCAGGCTTGATTCGCCCGACGTCAAGCTCGTCGTACGTAGGATCATCGGCGAGCGCTCGCACATCGGCAGAGTAGTCTTCGGCAGAGCATAATCAACGGCAGTACCGGTACGTCAAACCCCCAAAAACCCACTGTACATCCATAAAATTCAATAGAACTATTAGAAATCCAATCCACACCTGCTATAGTTTTTATTAATAAATAATAGTATACACCCTTTGATTACTGTGTCATTTAAACTTTCCATAGCTTTTAGTCAGGTGACAGTACTGCACGTTAAGATCGCGAAGCCCCTCCAGATTACCCAGTAGTAAGCCGACCTTGAGACACAGCTCGAGAGGTTTCTTGCTACTGAGCCTTTTTACCGGGATACAGACAGTAGAGTTACACAAAAATAAGATACGGTTCATATCAGTCACTTTTGTTCATCAATGAGTAATGAATGTCACACTAGAGCCATAGAGGTAACTCTAAGACCACTGGGTCCCGAAGCAAATCATTATTATTTTTGGCTCACTCAGTACCAGAACAACGGTCCCAAGCAGTCCCAAGCTATTTCACTCACCCCTGCATGTTCTGCATGAATCCACACACCCCTGATGTTATCTGTCAAACTTTCATAGCGAATCAAAACAAACATAGTGTAGTAATAGAATTTCAACTAGAATAGGGTACGTTAATCGTTTGCTTGGGACCAATAGGCTACTAAATTGGTGAGCCAATTTAAAATCGTTAGTTTCGTATTGATTGTTGCTAGAGCCACCTGGTTTGTTAATTATTTGCTGATATCTTTACCATAAAGTAGGTCTTGTTCATTTGAACAACTTTTCCGAAGACGGGAACCTTCTATCTAGTCAAAATGTTATGTTAGGGCAGACTAGAGAGGGTCTAGTATAAGAGAGGAGCGGACTGGCTGGTTTTGAGCCAAACGAACTGTCAAAGCCAGAGCCAATCGAGCAGCGTCTATCTTGATTGCATTTGCAGTGTTGCTAGAAATCACCTTGGCATAGGTTGCCAAGGCAGTTTGATTTGAATCCGCTCCTCTCTTATAATAGATCCTCTCTAGGGCAGACTATTCCAAATGAATGTCATACTTGCGCTGCCTGGTGAGTGCATTCTGAACTAAACTCTGTTCCTTAAGATAAATCTTGTCCATTTGAACAACTTTACTGAAGACGGAAACCTTCCATATGCACAGGATCTGTAGATAGCGTTGTATAATGTGTATATAAGATTGCGCAACTTGATCATTTTCGATTTGGCGCCATCTAGTACACACTAAAATTTTGTTTCCGTCTTCGGTAAATTTTACCGAAATCAGAAAAGCTGAACGTTCGGTAAAACTTTGACCTTCATTTTAAAGGCTATTAAAATCAAAACATGTTCAACCTTGTTTAAATGATCAAATCTTGTGATTTTAGTGGAGATTTAGTTTCAAAGTAGCTGAAAAGCAATTGAATTGAATTGCATAAATTTTAACGAAAAGTTCAGCTGTTCAGATTTCGGTAAAAATTACTGAAGTCGGCGATAATATCTAAGTGTGTAAGTATATTCTGTCATACACTATCCATAGTTCTGAAGACCTCGGATGTTTGAATATCTTTGCAGAAGGAAGCAACATTTGTTTGGGATCTCGTGATATAAGCATCTCTAACATCAAAATATGCCACTTCGTGAGTGAATTTTTACAAATCACCTCGAGAGATCTGCTCTCTAAAATAAACTTTAACAAATTAAACTAAAAGTACATTAAATTTACTTTACAAAACATTTGAAATTTCAAAAATCCATTCAACCTTTGCTAAGATATGACAATTTGAATTTGGGGTCATATTGAGCCTACACACTAATCGAGTCAGTACGGTTTTACCAACAATCAATACGAAACTAACGATTTTAAATTGGCTCACCACTTTAGTAGCCTATTGGTCCCAAGCAAACGATTAACGTACCCTATTCTAGTTGAAATTCTATTACTACACTATGTTTGTTTTGATTCGCTATGAAAGTTTGACAGATAACATCAGGGGTGTGTGGATTCATGCAGAACATGCAGGGGTGAGTGAAATAGCTTGGGACTGCTTGGGACCGTTGTTCTGGTACTGAGTGAGCCAAAAATAATAATGATTTTCTTCGGGACCCAGTGGTCTTAGAGTTACCTCTATGGTTTTACCGAGTTTTTGAATTGAGGAACTGTTCGGTAAAAGTTTAAAAATCTGTGGAAAATTTATTAATGAGAATATTTGTTCTGAACTTGTACATACCTAGTTCTGTTAACCCCATTTAATGATAGAAAATAAAATTGGTCGATTTTATTGATTTCTTACCGATAACGGTCATTTGAATTTTTACCGACTTTTTCAGCAATTCAAAAACCCAGTAAAAAATACTGACTCCTGTAAAAAAATCTTAGTGTGTAGAGTACAGACAACGTAAGTAGGTCACTCCGCACACCAATCGGGGGTCAACTTTTTCTCAGTGTGCCGCACAGCGTTGCCAGATTATTTTCATGATTATCGGTATCAAATGAATAACAAATCGGTATTTATCGGTAGGTATTCACTATTTTAATTAATTGTAATTTTTTTCAAACTTTTGGCCTAAAATCGAAAGATGTACTTTCCATGTAAGTCGGAAGAAACTCCTGGGAAATATTTAAATTAGTCTCTTAATGGTACCGACAAAACTTCCAGAGGGAGAATAAAGAAGATCTTGTGAAGGAAGTTTGAAGAAAGTT